TACTTTTTTGGCTACTTTCGGAGTTATTAGTTAGCCCAAATTGGATAATTGTCTAAACTATATAACCCCATCCCACGTGTGATTAAACCATATGAACCTAATATATCCTGAGTTATCGACTGGTTCACAATTAGTGAATCACGTTACACAATATTGTCACTTCTTGACATTTCCCGACACCAGCTAAATAAAAGTGCATATGTTTAAAAATGGAATATTTTACACCTATACTATGTGTAAAATATATATGTAGACAATATAACCGTTAATGTACGATTGACTGGGTGAACGATTATATTACATTATAAGTATGCATTGTCAAGAAGAATAATACAGAATAATAACCTATATACCGGTTTTCGTTCCGAATTTAAACTTGGTTCATTTGTCATTCCAAATAAGGCAAAGGAATTTTCGCTTAACAGTTCTTTAATAGTACCGGTAAAGATATATCGATTTTTGTGTGTAATATAAAATGTCTATCTAAAATTAAATCGAAATTGTATACATGGCTATTGTAATTTTGTAGGTACTATATATTATCAGTTGAACAAAAAAAATCATTATATAAATCAACTTACTCGTATACATAAATTTGTAAAACAAATGTTAGACTCAATAAATGTCGATATTTACAATTATAAATAATATTTAAAAGCTTTGGATATTTTTTATACTTTACTATCTTAACTTGAAATAATAAATTATGTTCTAAAAATATTTATAATCTGATAATCAATTCTGAATCAACAATACTTTGTTTCACAGAATTTGAAAAAAATTACTGATTATGGTGACGTATCGAAAAACGTACTCTGTATACTGAAGCCTTTTACTTTTAATTTTAAAGCCTTACAAATTATAAGTAGGTAACTGTTGATTTGAAATTAAACAAAGTAGAAACTCTAACCTGATAATATTTTTGATAAACATCTGTAACACAAAGTGGGACTTTTTTTTTAAATACAATTTTTAAAGTGCACAACCTTAAATTTTGTTTTACACAATCAATTAATCAAATGAATAGGTACATAGTCAGTACATTCCAAATTTAATACTTTATACAAACAATAAAGTGTGTTCCAACTTAAAAGTTCTAACTAAAAGTTACATAAATATGGTACAATTAATTTTAACTTTTATTAATTCATTTTAAAGAATCGATGACGTTATTAAACAAATAAAAATAAAGCGCACCTAAATTATATATATATTATTACTGTTTATAATTATTCTATATTAAATAAATATACCTATTATAATTATAACTTAATGTTGTCATTTTACGGTAGTTTTTTTTTTTTTGCAAATAAAGTGTAACACAAGAAACTGACATTTCAAACGTAGTTTATTCTTCGAAATGTTCGTTTTCTTCCGCTTTTTGTTCAAACATGATAACGCCAAGGAATCTGATATCTCGCAGAGTAAAACCGAAAACACATTATACTAGGTGGTACGTTACTAAAGCCAACAATTAAGACGAGATTTTAGTGAAATATAACACCTCACCCCACGGGGTGTGTTGCACCGCTTTATAATATAATGAAGAGTATATTATATACAACATTTTCATTACCTCCTCGTGAAAAATATCACGATTAATAAAAAAATTTAACAAATACAAGCGTAAATTATTAACGAACTCCTTAATAATAATTACTGGTTTGTGGATAATATTATTCTGCGTAATATTATGCAGTTAACGAAACCGCCTCATCGCCTCGTGATTACACTATGAAAACGTAACAGATGTAATCTTGTCCTACGAAATCGTCCAAGAGCTTACTCAATATCGACAACGTATTAATTTTTTTCTTTTTTATTAACAAAAGATGAAGAAGGTTCGAACAAAAACACATCTATACCAGTTAACACGGTTGGTTTGATGCTACTAACTGCAGCTCAACACTAATTTACACCTCATAGACATTTAACCTTAAACTGATAATGTCCACAGACAATACGCCCAAGTAATCCGTAATTTATTTGTTGGCAAGTGATGCTCGGCCCGCTTTCGTGAACAATAAAAATACTTTACAATTTCTTCGCGAATACTTAAATGTTTCGACACCAGTTTTTAGTAAAAAAAAATACTATTCTTAGAATTATTCGAACGAGCGCCAACATTTTTAGTAAACGTTTTTATTTTTAATTAATAAAAAATTGTGCAAAAAATATTAAAAAATAAAGCAATTAATGTAAATGTATTCTTTAATAATAAGTTAATTGTTAATTTTAGGGGCATGGTGTTGTTGGCTGTGGTTACCTCAGTCGCCCCTCTACACCAGAGGAGGGTTCATGTCGATTTCATTCCGGTTAAGTTAGGCAACTAGTGTGCGCCCGTTCACCGTGTCCCTACCGCGCGTTTCATACCCAAGCAAACCTAACCTAACCAAAAAACCTGAGTATATTATGCTTCATCCTCGATAAAGCCCGACATCACTATGTTCTTTTTTTAAAAAAATATCCATGTTGTTAAGACATTCAAGGTGTTATAATATTATAACATTTTTTAAATACAACTAATAGAATTATAAAACATATTAATTATTAATTTTCCAGAACAAAAAAAAAACAATAATTTTTTATGTACTTTATTTAATTATCAACTTTTGCTTTAGCTGTCTCAGTAAAGAGACATTTTATATGCTCAATAGAGATTTCACAATTTAAAATATTGATTCGGGTTTTTTTAAAAGGCAATAGAAATTATATTTCTTATTTAATAATAGAAATGTATTTAGTATCATTAGTTCAAAATTAATTTTAGCAAAATGAAGAAAATACAATTTAAAACAATATAAAAACTGTAGAAGTCCTAGTCGAAATGCAGTAGGTAAAAATACTTCTCTTAAGCTACTAAGTACCTAATTAAATACAAAGTGATAGTATTATTTGTTTTAAGTGTTTTAACGAAGTTGTTTCTGTTAAAACACTTTAATTAAAAACAATAGTCTTTGGTTATTTTTTTTATAAATGTTACTCTTTAAGGGTTTTGCATATTGTTATTAAAAAACGAAGAATTGTTATCGTTGAATCAATAATCAACACTCAAATCAGAATCTAAAAAGTTGTCGAAAATACATATAGACGGAAATTTAAGGAATTTCATCATCTAGACGCCATCAGTTCCAACAGCGTGTCTATTGTATCATTATAATATCATTTTTTAAAAATATAAAGTTTTAACTTCGAACTAAACATTAAACAACCTAGACAGTCCCATCATTACCCTGCGGGCACGTGGGACACGAGCCCAAGGCTCCGATCGGGTGGAGGCAATAATATAATTGAAGACCTTGGGGCAACAACAAGACATGTCCTTTTTTTTAAATTTTTTTTCAAAATGTTTTTAAACCCAAAAAATTGTTTTCAAAATATTCTAAAAAATGTTATTTTTTCAAAACGTTTTAAATTCTAAAAAAAAAATTGTTTAGAATATTTTGAAAAAAAAATTTTGGGTTTAAAAACATTTTGAAAAAAAAAATTTTAAAAAAGGACATGTCTTGTTGTTGCCCCAAGGTCTTCAATTTATATCTTCACATTTTTTTAAAGGGCACCCAAACTCTGTGTGCTCAAGGGCCCCTAAGACCGCCCTGAATATAGACTATATTTAAAGATATCAAAAATATAATAAATAGTTTTAAAGCATGATTATTATAGACAATTTTACAGAGTTTTTAATACATTATTTTGTTTAACAATCACACGAATCATAATTTTCTCTAACATAATTTTATCGATACCACTCACATTTTTATTTTACATGATATATTTTTATCCTCGTATTTTATTAGTATCCTACTTATGCTATACTACTAGGCAATAGCCTATATAAAGATTATCTATTTCCACTTGAAAAATTGTATTTATACAAAATTAATACATCTATATGTTATCAATTGCATAATATAAAGTTGCGTGTAAAATTATCTTTATTAGACTCCAATAAATATTCAAATAAAACGTAAATTTATTAAGTGTATTTTTAAAACTAAATTTTTTACTAAATTTAAAATCTTCAAATATTCGAATATTGTAGATACACGTGTACAAAGAACAATAAGTTCAGTAAAGCATGAGATGAAACGTTATGGAGTCTGATAATTTACCAAAAGTTAGAGTTGATGGTAATCGCTTGAGAGTGAATTTTTAATCCGTTTTCCACAGATCGTGCTATTTGAGTTTAGTGTAACGAATGACAACATTCAATATATGTATATAAGAATGTAGATTTTTGTTTTTCCTACTCTCTCTAATTCTTCAACACGTCTGAATTTATTGCCATCGTGTAATAACGTGAAATATTATAAATTTGTATTCCGGATAAAGCATTTAGTTGCCAAAGCATCCAACAAACGCACTATATGAATACTATATAACTACGTGATTAGCAGTAGGTAGTTGCAAAACTGTATTCGGTTTTTGGAAAATTACAATGATATTATTTCAAATAGGTACATGATAATAAAAACAAAAGTGCTCAAAAACGTGCATTATTTATGATAAAAGTGAGAGTGCTTCATTTCTGGTGCTAACTGAAAAAACATTAGTAAGTAATCTTTTTTTAATAGTGGGTGCTAAACACCCAACTAACTTCCTCTAATTTTTCCTAAATGCTAAATGTTCACTAGGTTTTTTTCTTATTGATCTTCTTCTGCAATTCTTTCATTTCACCATCTCTTAACACTAGTTTTTGTTCCTCAAAACGCATCCTCTATTTTTTAGAAACATTCTAGGGACACTTTTTCTTTTCAGAACTGCTCAGAATACCTATCTTAGCACGGTCAAAGTCTATAAACCTATACTACAATTTTTCTTTTTCTCTATATTTTTAGACATAAGGAAAAATATTCTCCTTACTAATTTTGTTTCTATCGCTGTAAAGTGGTTTTAATTCTATTCGACGTGAACGAATGAATTACCTACAAAGACATTTTTAATGACCCAGCCATCGTATTTCATTTAAAGTGTTGAGTGTAAGGCAATGGATTTCTTACCTGGTGAACGGATGACGCTGAACATGTTGCGACAAAAAACAGCGAAACGACGGCCAACAAACATATCCGATTTCCCGGTCGTAAACGCATAGTACCACACTTATTAAATTTACTTAAACCGATGAATTGGCTACGTTGATCACGCGGGGCGCAATTAAAGTCCATCGTGATGCGCCTCTGGACGCAGAGGATTTTAAACGTAAATTCTGTCTTCCCGATTCAAGTTTCCATTGTTAAACACGATCCGGGGCGGCGATAACCTGCGAACAAAAAAACATAATTGCTTAATTAGTATAAAAATATTATCAGTTTTCGCATGAACCTATAGTCGGATGGCTAATTATAATCATATTCACTGTACCCCATAATCGAGCTGGTTGTTCGAATGAATTATCATTTTTGGCAAAACGTCACTGTCTACGGTATAAAATATAAACGGTACCCGTCGTTATAATACGTTGTTAATATAATAACAATTCCAAGAGAATTTTTGAGAAGCACAAACAATCGAACCTACACTGAAATAATATTATTACATAGAAAACAGTGGTATGATGTTTTACATTGATGTACAACTCCCAAATCGAAATTAAACTTTTTACGATAAAAGCAGTTATATCTCACCTATTTTATAGAACACTTAAACGATATCAAAATATGTACTAATTCATCATTATACAACTGCCATTTGCAAGAACAACAGAGATACGTTCAATATTTAAGACTTGTCTCATTTTTCTCAAACCTAGTCTACGGCTTACCATAACAATTACAATGATTAGCTTTATTCCGATCTGAATTAGCAATTTTACCACTTTGCTATATAAGTACATCTTACAAAAATATTCACGTTAAAATAAGTAAAACGTATTTTTTTACAGTATCCTTCTTTTACTGAATTTTAAGTTTATCCTTGTATAAGAACACGTTAAATAATTTGAATTATAAGAAAATAGTCAAATGTACAAACCTAACTTACACTTTACAACGAAAGAAATTATTTATACATTTGTAGATATTTTATGCGTTTGATTTTCATTGTAGGCAACACGTATTTGCTTCGATGCGGAACTGGGGAAGTATTGTGTCAAGTATTGTATTTACAATGATGTGTTTTTTTGTGTGTGTGCCTATACCCGCCTGTATATTTTAATCCGTTGAACCGATTTCTTCGTGTAGCAACTCAATAGATCAGAAATCGCACATGAAAGGTACTTTATTGGACCAAAAATTAAAAGAAGTTACCCCTTCCACTTCAAAATCGAGAAATTTACATATTTTTTAACATAAAGTGGGATGCTCTATAACTTTTTTAAAAATAATCGAATTAGCTCCAAATTTGTATTGAATATTTTTTAAACATACCGTCAAACATTGGCAAACCAAAAATATCGTAAACCCTTTACCTTAGAAGGGATAGACATTTTTTTCCTTATTTAATTTTTTCAAGCAAAGGTTTAAGGATTCAAAAGGTCTAAAAATTTAACCAAAGGTAGATCTAGAATGGGGTTATAACATAAACAATTTTCTCAAAAATCTGTAGTCAAACTTTTTTTATTAAGGAAAACCCCAAAAAAAGGGGGAAATTACACTTTGACCGTAGTCAATTTCCAGGTTAAGTCAACAGTCACAGGTAATGAACATTTCTTTTCATTATATTGTTAATTACTGAACATGGGTAACTAGGCAATACATTTTTATAGACAAACGATCAACCTTAATCGTTTACACTGTATTACTAAAAATTATTTTTTTAGCACATAATTGTTATTAGATACAATGATTTTATTGATATTTGTAACACCATTGGACCTCCCTTACTTAATCACTTACGTATAATACTTTCTTACTGTTGCGGTTAGAACCTACTATTTTATCACTTTCAGTAGATATAATAATTTCTGTAGACATGTGACCTCCCCGTCCCCACTATGCCCCGAACCCCACTGTACTGGCGTTTTTATTTATTATAAAGGGAAATATAAATAACTAAAATAAGGCTCAAACATGAACATAACGAGAATAAAAATAATCAGTAAACTAGAAATTTGGACAGATTTTAATATGCAAAACCTAAATGCAAATTAATTAATATTTTAGAACGCAACTAAAAATATAAACTTATGATATAAAAACAGAAAAAAAAAATCCAAAGTGTTTCTATAAAATTAAAAAAAAACAGAATATGTTTTGCAACCAAACTTACTCCGAAAAAAAAAATACTAAACAAAAAGTATAGCTTGATATTATATTATGTGGATTTATAATCAACACTTACTATGCGTATTTGCCGTGTAAAATATTTTTATAATTATACGACATGTCCTCTGGTCGATTCACGTTTACAAAGAAAGTTGAGACTTTATTACATTTTTGCATATAATATATTAATGTAAAATAATTTTTAAAATTAAAACCAATTACACGGCAGGGTAACGTATAGCATGCAGAGACTTGATTCAAGTTTCTGACACGCCTCTATGATGTTACGAGTTCTGTAATAACATCAATTATGAGAGATGCAAAATACCTGAAAGGCAAAAAGACACTGTCGAATGAAGATACTGTAGCCTCTGACTGACGTCATTTTTACAAAAGGAATAAATTTAGTGCACATACACCTACTCAATGCCCTAAATGAGATAATAGTGGCCTCGCGCTTAACATACCTGGCGGCTTATTACGGAGGTCAAATTCAACTAAGTTAACAAATGTTGTTCAATAGCACGTTAAAACGTTCTTGCAAAACATTTTTTCCATAGACAAATGTATGGAAAATGAAATTACTGTTTTAGTAGAATTCTAGATTAAAATATTATTTAGCACTTGTTATAAGGATATATAAAAAAGGTATGTCGAGAATTAAGGTAATAATATCGAGTTAAATTTTAATTTTCTCAACCCACTCTGATTAAAATGATTAATAAGACAAAAACAGGTAAAATATGTTGTCGCTAAAATTATCATAATTTGTTAAATTGTAGCCTAGACACGATCGTATTACTTTTACTACGGGCCAAGTATAGACTAAAAGTCATATTAGTGAACGTTGATCTTAGCATAACCTCAGAATAGACACACATAAAGAGCTTGATACAAAAATGTATTAATTTATTTAATGTTGTTAATAATTTAATGAGTTTTAAAATAATGTATTTAGTTGTTTTTGGAATACTCGGCACGATAATAGAAATAATCTGTGTTAAAAAATACATTTTTAAATTTATTTTTGATCATTTATTAAAAATTATATATAGTTATAAAAATAAAATTGGTTCTTATCCCTAAAAATATGTAATTTTGCTTAACATTTTAACTATATTATACTATTGAATGTCAATAGTTAAAATGTTTCACAAAATTTCATTTTTTCGGTAAAAAAACCAATCACAATTTTATAACATTGTACCTACTTGATTTTTTTTAATTAAAATTTGAAAACATATTAAATATTGTACATATTGAAAAATATTTATGTAAGTATATTCTAAGTCTGAAACTGAAATAATTATCGTAGTTATTTCTATGTTAACTAACTATAAACACACACACACACACACTAAATCAAGATTCACACTGACTAGCAGACTTTGGGCACGTTCTAAGTTAGTCAAATGTACTAGGCTAGTAACTCTTAAGTATTGGAACTACACTACAGCCGGTGGATATAACCGGCCATAACGGATAAGCATATTATTTTTTTTTAACTTTAACAAATGTTTAAAAAAAAAATCATAATAATTCTGAGACCAGATTTGGTTTTGTCGACAAAACGCTATAAAATAATGTATTTTGGTTCTTAATACAAAATCGTGTACAAATACATTTATGCTATAAATTATAATTTAAATCGCAACAATTATAATTCCTTAAAATTAAAATAATCGACGTGTTAAGATCCCAAAATGTTTTAATAACACTAATACTCAACAATGCTACTACCGGGATATACTAGTCTAGCGTTCTTCACCATTAGTATTTAATGCCAATTGTTTACCGGTTTAGTGGACGTTAAAAAAAGCTCTGAAATCTAACACAATTACAGACTTGCATCGTTATCAATTGTTAGTTAAGTCGTTATTGAACCCGTCTTGTTCAGATATACCGTGAAATAAAGGTTACGAAATATCCAAGATAATAATAATTAAAACATAATATTGAGAAGTAGGCATCGCAAGGTGAAAAATACTCGGAGAATAAGTCGTCTTTCACCGAAATATAACTGCAGTAATAATTTTAATAGAAAAACGTTTATTCAATTCGTGATAATATTTATTATGTTGTTTATTGGTTATTCTATGGGTTTGTGACACAAATACAGCTCCATTTTTTAATTAACTATTCAAGTACAGTAAAACGAGACTCTTTTAAAATTATGTTTGCTAAATTTAAGACATGTGATGTAATCAAATACAAACTAAACAATAGTAGTTTCGCCTTGAATCAGCGAGGACTAGTGTTTGAAGGGAATACTCAATAATATTTAACTTATCTCTTGCAAGTGACATAATAAAATATTGACCTACGATAGGGTTGGATTAAAAACGGGTACATGCAAACATTTTCTAAAATAATCAATTTTGAGATAGATAAAATGTTAATAATTATCATATTATAAAAATGATTTAAAAAAATTATCTTTGCTTTTCCAGAATCGAATTGTAATAAACATGTTTGTCCTTCTTACTCGATTCTTTTTCCAAACGTTTGGCGGCCAATCACTCTGGTCCATAAACTCCAGCCACAATCAAATACTTATGACAATTTAAACATAGGTAAAAGCTCTAATAGTAAATTAATAAAACGTTTTATTAGAACGGTAGGTGGGATTGTATGAATAGTAAAACAATCAGTTTAATGGTGATTAAAATAAATGTATATGCTTAAATATTTTTTTTTTAATTCAAATTACAATTGTATTGCTGATAAGTGATAACTCCATTGTTTTATAAGAGACTTATTCACTAGTGACAAACCAAAATAAATAATACCTTACATAATAAGTGTTGTTATAGTTTCCTGTACGGAGCAACGTCAACAGCACATTCCGTAAGCCTAAAAGTATGGATAAATTGTAGATTTTGCATATTATTCGGACCAATGCGTGTGTAGTCAAATTTTACCTTAAGGATAAAAAAAAATTCCTAGAAATATGAAAACGCATTTATTGAAACGTACGATGAACGTATAACGCATGTATTTATCAAAATAAAATTATGATGAAAATTGCACGGCTGGCGTTTTATGGAAATAGACCGCA